ATCCGGTAGGTAAGAAGACAATCCGGTAAATAGACTTCGAATAATATTTGAATTTATATATGAATAATATATATATATATATATATATATATATATAGAAATGATCTAATGAGTACCGGTGCTCATTAGATCATTCCTGCATATATATATATATATATATATATTGTTAAATGCTATACATTGTGTTGAGTTAATATTTATGTTTAGACTCAAATATGCGGAATTAACAATAAAAAGCAACGAGTCACGATTTTTTGATTGCTAGATAATTAAGCTTAATTAAACCAATTAAATTAATCCTAAGTGTCAATAAAATAAAACAATCATATCAAAAGCAATAAATAACACCAAAATTGACAACGGAGGAAAATCCCAACCCAGGATATAAAGACCTCCGAGTAAACTTGTTAGTAAAATCTACTAGAAAAGTTAACTTACAATTAGTCCAAACACTACTAAACCTTAGCTACCTCTGGTCACCTAACTTGTAAATCGCTAAGAAACTCCTTTGGTTGTGCACAATCGCACTTTTTAGAACTCTAAGCTACTTTTGTCTTCGTGTGGACCAACAAGAGTGAACCTCGTTCTCGAGCGCCAGAATTCCAAGCACTTCTTCCCAAAACTCCTGAAATCTAAAGGCTAATTGGCGAATGCAGGGTTTTGTTTTGGTGTTTGATCTAAGATCTTTTTTATGTTTTGATCTGCTGACAGAGGTAAAAGATATTATAATATGTATTTGACTTTCAAAGAACCAACTCTTAAATTACAACGATGCTCTACTAATGATGGAATAATGTTTGGGATCAATTACATGAAACAATGAAACTTGGGTTGAATCAAGAAATCAAGAATGAGTCTTTGATCTTCAATAATGAGATCTCTAAGATAATATCACTAGGCTTATGAGGCTCAATGTATAGAAGAATTTTGGTGAAATATGTTTTATCTTGTCTCCTTTGATATAACCTCTTTTGAGTTGTCCAATGCAAGTTACATTACTTTTATACAATATTGTTGGGCTATCTTTTGAAGATAATTTGCATGATACTTGGATATGGTGGGTCATGTTCCTTAGCCATCCACATTTTCAACTTGCCTAATTGGTCTAATGTACATGACTAACAATCGGTTTAATAACATGTATACCCATGAATTATGTGAAAAATAATCATTGGTCCATTAGTGAAAAAAGATAAC